GCATTGCCCCCACCAGACATCTCTCCAGAAACTAATGTGTGAGCCGTCTCCCACTTGCCACACAGACCCCAGGCTCAGCCATCTTCTAATATTTAGCAAACCTTTCCAGAATTGGGAAGCATATCTCTCTTTACATTGGAAGAACCCCCCATCCTGCAAGTATTTCCTTCTCAATAACTCTATACATAGGCTATCATCTTCAGATTCAATTTTCATGATCCACTTGGCCAAGAGGGCAGTGTTCATTCTCCTAGTCTCAGTGAAACCCAGGCCACCATAATCTTTGGGGAAAGCCAGATCCTCCCACTTTACCATATGGTATTTTCCCTTTAGTCTGTTTCTAGCCCAATAATATCTCCCTCTAATGCTACCAAATTTTTGATGGACTCCCTCAGGAAGTTGGTAGAAACACATGGCATAGGAAGGGATTGAAGAGAGACATGTATTAATTTGAACAGCTCTTCCAGCATGGGACAGATTATTCCCCCAAGAATTCAATCTCTTCTCAAGTTTTTGGCCCAGGAAATCAAAACCAAGGTTTAGGATTTTGTCAGGGCCAATAGGTAAACCAAGGTACTTCATTGGGAACTGACCCACTGGACAATTAAACATCATTGCAACTCTGTTAGTATCATTGTCAGACAGACCCAAGGTAAAAATCTCACTCTTGTGGTAATTAACCTTTAGGACAGCCATCTCTTCAAAGCAATAGAGAATGAACTTTGTAGCCACTATTTGCTTATCATCATTAGCAACAAATAGAACAGTATCATCAGCATATTGGAGGTGGGTGATACCCCCAGGAAAAATATCAGGAACTAAGCCACTGAGGACCCCTTCCCTTTTGGCACTATCTAACATTGCAGCAAGGGCATCACTAATCAAGTTAAAGAGAAGCGGGGAGAGGGGGTCACCTTGTCTAAGTCCCCTAAAGGTCCTAAAGAAATCAGTCCTCTCTCCATTAATGTTAATACACACTCTACCACCCATGACACAAGTTTTAATCCAGTTAACCCACTTGCTAGGGAAGCCTTTTCTGACCATCACCTCTATCAAGAAGTCCCAACTCACCTTGTCGTATGCTTTTTCGAAATCAATTTTCAAAATAATTCCTTCCAGATTCTTTCTATTCATCTCATGGAGCACCTCATGAATAATCACACAGCCTTCCAGGATAAACCTTCCAGGTATAAAAGCAGTCTGGGTTGGGGAAATGACATCTCTAGCTATCTCAGTAAGTCTATTACAAACACACTTACTGATGAATTTAAAACAGTCATTCAGAACACATATGGGTCTGAATTGTTTAATATCAGTAGGGTTACTGTTCTTAGGTATTAGAGAAATTACACCAAAGTTCAATCTCTTAAGGTCCAGCTCTTCATTGTAAAGCATGAGTAACATCTCAAAAAGATCAGGTCTTAGTTGTGGCCAAAAAGCTCTATAAAAAGGAATACTAAATCCATCTGGACCAAAGGCAGTGTTTGGTTTAGCCTCTCTCAACACCTTATACAACTCTTCAATGGTGAAAGGTCTCATCAAAGTATTTTTATCCTCCTCTTTCAGACACAGGGAGTCTACCCAAACCCCCTGAGATAAATGTATACTAGAAGAACTTTCAGATCTAAAGAGAGATTTATAGTATTCAACAATGTGATGTTTCAAATCCTCTTTAGTAGTCAATTCCCTATCACCATCCATCAAGGAGGTAATAGTACATCTCTTTTTCCTCCCATTAGCAATCCTGTGATAGTACTCAGTATTCCTATCACCCTCCAATAACCATTGTTCACCACATCTCTTGTGCCAATACAGTTCTTCCAGCTCATAAATATGTTCAAGTGCATCTTCCAATTCATATCTATGTCTCCATTCATCAGCATTTAACTCAGCATCAACAGCTTTTGAGTCAATTTCCTCCAACTTTTTCTGTAGGGATAATTTTGCTCTCCTGTCCTCACTTTGTTTATTTATTCCCCAGCCTGTCAGAAACCTCCTCATCTCCACTTGTTTTTTATTCCAGAACTCAAGGATATATGAGCCATCCCTATCAGGAAATTTTTTACCGACCAAATCTTTAAAACCCTCCACTGCCAACCAAGCTGACTCAAATCTAAAATATCTGCACTTCTCTACAACCAACTCATATGTATCCAGCAAAAGTGGGGTATGATCAGAGCCTACTCTAAGTACAGAAGAGATAAGAGAGTTGGGATATCTATCATCCCAGTCATCACTAACTAGGATCCTATCTAAAACCTCCTGGGTAGGGCAATATTGTTTGTTAGTCCAAGTAAATTTAGGACCAATTATGTGCACCTCTCTAAGGTCAAGGTCAGAGATAAACTTGTTAAACATATCCATACATCTAACATCAATGTTACTATTAGACTTCTCACTAGCAAATTTGTAAAGGTTAAAGTCGCCTCCCAACATCACAGGGTGTTCTCTACCACTGATGTGCCATCTCAACTCTTCCAGAAAAACATTTTTCAAACTATTGTCTACTGGACCATACACAGAAATAACCTCCCACTGAAATTTGTCCTTTCTATTCACCACCACACAGTTGATGAAATAAGAACCAACATGAGTCTCAGTCACATCCACTATCTTAGAATTACAGCCAATGAGAATCCCTCCTGAGGCACCTCTAGAAGCTTTTCATCTCCAACAGAAAGTCCTATTTCCTTGCAGATAGTTCAACCCTCTATCAGAAAACCTCTCTTTTTGTTGTCTCCTGGAGACACACAATGTCCACCTCTTTCTGTCTTAACAACTCTCTCAACTGAGCTTGTCTGGCTTGGTTCCCCAAACCTCTTACATTCCAAAAGAGAATCTTCATTTTTTTCCTCTGTTTTTTAAGTCCACCTCTTCTTCTATTAAGCTCAGAGCTCTTATCTTGCTCCTTATCAATGTGTTCAACCTCTAAAATTTCTGATTCATCTTTACTGACCAACTCTTTTTCTCCCTCTTTAGTACTGTTTTCTTCCATCTTTTTCTTCCAATTTAGCTCTACTAACCTAGCATGAACAATTTCTTTTGCTCTCATAGAATCAATGTTAGAATTAACCTCTTCTACAGACCTACCTAACTCAATATTAGCTGCAGTAGCAATACTATTCAACTCAGAATTATCTAGCAGTTGAAAAATAGAGAAAGGGTTAGAAGAAGTACCTGCAGACTCCAAGTTCTTCTTCTGGGTAAGCATCTCGGCTCTTTTGGTTATTGGGACAGTAGCCAGCTCTCTCTGCTGCAGGCTCATTCTTGAGGTTACAGCAGGTTCTGACTTCTTCCCATTGTTCTTCTTTTTGTTAGACACCTCCTGGAAACTCTTTTCATCCTCCTTATCCTCTCCTGCTCTGATCCTTTCGATGTCAGAGTCAGTCGGGATTTGACACCTCTCATATTCGTCTTCAGGTAGCAACTCCTGTGTTAACTCACCCCCTTCATCCTGAGATTGCATCTCAGTCATGAACTCTGCCTTCTGAGGGAACATTCAGTTGTTTTATCTTTCATCTCATCCCATAACACCATGGCAGTGCCCATTTCAGCCTTCTTCAGTAGGGAACTTTTCTTAGATACCAGCTTCTTGATACTACACCCCTGTGTCCCATGTGATTTCCCTTTGTATGCAGGGGGGCAGAATAGGCCCCAAACCTATTCCCCTGATTACTGTCAGCATCTCTGAGTTGTCTCCCTCTAGGGCTATTTTGATTCTTAAATTCATCATCAAGGTTCATGTCTTCTTGCAACTCTTCATCATTTTTATCATCTTTATCATCACCACCATCATCATCAGGGGGCATCTGTCTGTTTTCATATGGTGGGTAGCCCTCTGGTTCCCACTTAGTCATGTAACCCACCTTGTTGATGTAAACATGAACTGAGAAATGTAACTCCCTAGGATCCTTGCACGCCACCCTGACTCTCACAGGACCATCTCTCCTTAAGCTAGCTCCATCCATAGTTTCAAACTCCCCCACCAGTTCAACAATGGCCTTAATTGAGTCTTCTGTTTTAGCAATTTTTGGAATCCCAAATATTTTCACCCACACAGCAACCAATTGACTGTTTTAGCAATTTTTGGAATCCCAAATATTTTCACCCACACAGCAACCAATTGACTGTTTTAGCAATTTTTGGAATCCCAAATATTTTCACCCACACAGCAACCAATTGACTGTTTTAGCAATTTTTGGAATCCCAAATATTTTCACCCACACAGCAACCAATTCATCCACGGCTTCCTCAGTCATTCCAGTCTCTACCACACTTGCCTTAATCAAAGAGGTCTCAAAGTCAAAACACTTGCATGTTGAGATTTTGCTTCTAACCTCATCAAAAGGGAAATTGATTAAAAACTCTTTGTCATTTAGTTGCTTCACTTTCCATTCCCAGTTTAGTCCCACAAACAAATGTTTCAATTCAGTAACTATTTTTACCACTGAACCCTCACCAAGGATTACTGTTAGAATACCTCTCACAGGAGCTCTAGCAACCTCTGCATCAGATATCTCAACTTGAAGGCTATAGAAACCATGCCCTGGGATTCCAAATCCACAGAGTTTAACACCTCTCTTCATCAGATTCATAGGACAATGAGCAGAGATGTGCCCAGTGTTGTGACAAGAGTAACAGAGAGGAGGGTTAGGGCATGTTGCCTGGTGATGGCCTTCGCGGCCACACTTGAAGCACTTGATCTTCGGAGGACCTCCTCCTCCCCGCTCCGCCTCAAACCCCGGGCGCCCTTGGGATTGGGGACGAAGCGCTTGGTTCCTGGGATTCTGAGCGAGCAGTTGACGCCACATGACATTCTATCCCCTTTTCCTCCACCACCCTTCACCGCCTGCGCCCGCCGGCGGTTACCGACGACACGACTCCATCCGCCGCCGCAGCCCAACGACCGGCGGCGTCGCCTGCCTCCCTGACCCGCCGCGGCCACGAGTTAGTGCAAGCGCACCCGCCGTCCCGCCGCTCCCGCCAGTAAGGAGGTTCCCCTATTGCCATGTTGTATCAAAGAGAACCAGCAATGCTTCCTCCCTGCTCCCCGTGCCGGCCATGGCGACGGTCTCCTCTTCTTCCCTCTCGCTGCCTCCTCTCTCCTGGTCCTTATTCTTCACGATCTTCGTGTCCTTCATGGCATTCGTGATCTCTGCAGCTGGCGTCTCCACCCGCTGTACATCCTCCACGCGGACCACGCCGCATTCTTGGCCACCTGATACGTCGGCGCGTTTCGCCAGAGTCGCTGCCTCTCCTTTGCCGTCAACGGGAGCCTTGTCGCCATGCACAGTGTTGCCACCGCCACCGCCGCCGTCGTCCGCCGTGAAGACCTCCAAGTTCTCGAGTTCCTTCCGAGCCCATAGGAGTAGCTCATACGCATATACGCCGGGTACAGACGGCCGCATGCATATGCGTCTTCGTACGAGCATATATATGCATGCATGGAGACGACCAGCTATAGCCTCTAGCTAGCTTCTTGTTGGTTTGCCGCCAACAACATGCAGACGTATATATTAGCCAAGCATGTGTATATGGCTGAGCACACTCACATGTGTGTGTGTCTATATATATATATATATATATATATATATATATATATGCGCCATTACGTGCATGACTCATGCATGAGTCATATTTAATTCATTAGCTTGCTTAGCACATTAGCGTTGTTAGCTAGCTAATTTACCTGCTTCCTGCAACCAGCCACTAACACACAATATGCGAGCGCGGCGGAGGAGCGGCGGCGGGCGAGCGCAGCAGTGGGCAAAGCAGCGGAGGGCGAGCGCGGCGGCGGAGGGGCGGCGGGCGAGCGCGGCCGCGGGCAAAGCAGCGGAGGGTGAGCTAGGCGAAGCGGAAGACAGTGGATGGGATGGGGAGCTCCCCCGTGCTCGGCCGCCACCACCGCCGTGCCCCGTGCCCTAGCGGGTGCCCCACGGCGCCGGCGACGAAGGCCTCGAGGCCGTCGATCGCGCCGTGAGCTTGGCGGGCAGGGACTCGACGAGGAGGACGAGGTCGTCGGCCTTGCCGAGGACGCGCTCAGTGGTCGGGAAGAGCACCGCGGCGATGTCCTGGACGACGAGGAGCTGCCTGTCCGTGAAGACCAGCGTGGGGCCCACCAGATGTGCCCTAAAGACGGTGTGAAACTGACATGTGGGACCCACGTGGGCCCCACCTTTTTTATAATTCCTGCGTGAAACTGACATGTGGGTCCCACAAGTTTTATTTATTTTTCAGGTTGAATTGCCACGTAAGCGTCATGTCAATGCCACGTGGGACAGAGACCATCAGCCAAAACAGGGACGAACTTATTCCGCTCTAGTTGGATCACTGCGAATATGGGCCGTCCCTTCCTCGGCCCAAATGTTAACTGGGCCTTTTGGTTAGCTGCATTGTGACCAATCGGATCACTGCGAATCTGGGCCGTCCCTTCCTCGGCCCAAATATTAACTGGGCCTTTTGGTTAGCTGCATTGTGACCAATCGAATTTGGCCCGTCCCCGCGATGGGAGCGGTGGGTTCTCTTCTCCGACCTCTGCGTTTCCTGGTTCTGGTTCTAAATGGCATCGTCCAGCAATGTCCGTATACAGATTGTACAGAATATTGTCCAAAAAAATCTTCTGAAGCGCAAGCAATTGGGCAAAAACTTGAGATTAGAAATATTCTGGGTCGTTCGCTTTGAGAAACTACTTCCAGAACCTGCCCAAATCAAAACCCTCTGTCGAAGCAACGTTCGTATCAGGATCACAACAAATGCTAAACAGATCAAACTTGGCAAGAGAAACAGCAAGATAGATCTGAAGTTTTAAAAAAAATGGAATGATAGATAGGATTGTCACAGAAAAGCCAAACTGGGTGGCCATTGGGACGGGCCGTCCAGCATTAAATCCTGCGGTGGTTTCCTCTAGGGAAGAGCTCTCCGAGAGAGCCATGGTGATCTCAGCCATGTGATCTCGAATGAACATCACAAGGCCGCACCTCCTTCCCAGCAAATTCGCCGCAAAGTCAATAGAAACGAACAGAGAAAGCAACCAAGAAACGAAAAAGGAAGGCAAAGAAACGAAAAAGGATGACTGACGTTCCCGTGGTTGGAGAACGGCGACCCATTCGCGAGAAGATTTGCGGCCGCGGTGGCGGTGGCGGCGGCGGTTGGGGGAAGCAGGAGAGTCCAGCGCCTTCTTATATAGAGAGGTGGGGTGGGGTGGTTAGGGCAACTCGCCTCTGGGCCACGGGACGCCGAAAAGAGAGAAAATCTTGAGCAGGCCGAAGTGTACGCTACCCAAACTGGGCCGGAATACGCGCCATCAACACATCATGGGCCTCTTTATTAACAGAGAGCAATAGGAATAAGTTCACTTTGTGACCCTCAAAAGTCATCGAAATATAATCTGACCCTAAACCACAAAACCGGATATCTCGACCCCCCCAACTCTTAAAACCGGTGCAATTTGACTCCCTCGGCGGTTTTGGAGGGTGGCTTCGCTGATGTGGCACCTACGAGGCATCCTAGTCATCAAATAAATTAAAAAATTAATGTGGGGCCCACCTGTCAGTGACTCCCCTCCTATATTCTCTCTTTCTTCGTTGGCAGTAGCGACGGTGGTAGTATTTTCTCTTTCTTCGTTAGCAGCGGCGACGGGGGGACGAGGGGAGTGGCGGCGGCTGGCAGCACCGGAGCGTAGCCGAACCGGGGGCGGCGGTCGGCGGCTAGGGCGGCGGCGGCTCGCGGCAGTGGGAGGACGAGTGGAACAGCGGCGGCGGCTGGTAGCAAGCTCCCATCGCGGTGCGGCGGAACCGGGGGCAACGGTTGGCATCTGGGACGACGAGCCAAGAAGGACGATGGCAATAAATTTCCCCTCCGCCTCCGAACCCCACCGCAAACTACCGCCGTCCTCCATGCGCCGCCGCCACTCGGCGAAGCTCTCGTGGCGCTCGAATCGCTCCGCTCCCTCGCCGGGGCTAGTCTCCGGCAGCCCTTCCGCGTCCACCACGTCGAACGCCATGGCGTAGTACCGTAGCGCGCGCGCGAACCGCGCCTCCCACCGCCCGGAGTTGAGGCCGCCGCCCTCGTGCTCGCCGAGGAGGAGGATGGCGGCGCCCGTGCTGCGTGCTAGCCCTATGATGTCGGTCAGCGCGGCTCCTGTGTCGTAGGCGGCTCGGTGAGCGCCCCAGGAAGTCGGTCAGCGCCTCGGTGAAGTAGGCACGCCGTTCTTCGTGTCGAACTCGGGCAGCTACGGTGGCATCATCGCCGACGAACCACCAAGATGATTAAGCTAGCGTTTGTGGATGGAGCAGGCGCCCAAGATGACGAGGAACATGAGGATGACGACGGTGAGGAAGGAGGCGACGACGGAGCCGCTGGTTCGCTGGCAGAAGCCGTGGAACTGCATGCATATGGGAACCCAGTTCGCCTGCAGGTTGCTGTTGTGCGCCAGGTCCACGATCGCCGCCGCCGCGGTCAGTAGCACAGCCATGATCTGCACAAACATCAATCGCTCGGCTCATCAGGAGCCGCTCATTCATGGCTCCAAATCAATCCAAAGAAACCATCGAATCTGGCGCGGAACTAGCCGTAGAACTCGGTGAAGACGGAGAGCGTCTCGTCTGTAACCGCGAGGGCGAGGACGACGAGCAGCAGCGCGGGCTGCCGCCGCCGTTCCCCTCGTCCTTCCACTACCGCGAGCCTCCGCAGCCGAGCCGCCACCGTCCTAGCCGCCGACCGCCGCCCCCGGTTTCACTGCGCCCCGATGCCAACAAGCCATCGCCGCTCCCCCCGTCCTCCCGCAGCAGCTTCCAACGAAGAAAGAGAGGATATACGTGGGGGAGTCACTGACAGGTGGGCCACACATTATTTTTTAAATTTATTTGATGACTGGGATGCCACGTAGGCGCCACGTCAGCGAAACCGCCCTCCAAAACCGCTAGAGGAGTCAAATTGCACCGGTTTTAAGAGTTGAGGGGTCAATATATCCGGTTTTGTGGTTTAGGGTCACAGATTAGATTTCGATCACTTTTTGGGGTCACAAAGTAAACTTATTCCTACAGAATGTACACCCAGCAGCACGTACCCATGTCCTAGCTAGTGCGCAAGCTAAGAATCGTCAGAGCTAAAATAAATCAACTGGAGTAGTACTAAACAACATGTCAACACGTCAAAAAGTACTACATCCTCCGTTTCACAATGTAAGTCATTCTAGCATTTTCCACATTCATATTGATGTCAATGAATCTAGACATATAGAAAATGCTAGAATGACTTACATTGTGAAACGGAGGGAATAACTAATGTTGAACATGTCGTGTTTCGATAACTTGACTTTTTGTTTCATTATGTACAAACAAATGTTCCATGAAACATTTTAATGACCACATTCTTTTTCAGATCGGATACGTAGTCCCATCCATATCGAAATAGGGCAGAATATCGAACTAGCTTCGCTCAGCTCGTAATCCAAATGAGCAGAATGTATCAGCTCGACTCGTTTGTCACCTTGAGCCAACTTGTTTAGCTTGCGAACCAACATATCCAACCAAAAAGGTCTGCAAATTAAACATAAACATGATCTTCCAGGAGGATGAAATCTATTGGCAGGAAAGGAGTGGGGAGAAACGGCTACTTGAGGGGGATGCTAACACAGCCTTTTTTCATGGAGTAGCTAATGGTAAAAAGAGGAAAAGTACCATTAGAAGTTTAGAAGAGGATGGAAGAGTGATTGAAGGTAACTCAGAACTGAGAGAGCATATAACCCGTTATTATAAAGGCTTGTTTGGTTCGGAGTTACCACCAAAAGTGTTCCTGAGCTAGGATATGTGGAGGAATAGGGGAAGGGTGGATCAAGAAGATAATGACTTTTTAATCAGACCTTTTTCCGTGGAAGAGATTGAGAGGGCTTTAGCAAAAATGAAAACCAATACTGCCCCTGGTCCTGACGGCTTGCCAGTTTGCTTTTATAAGGAGTTTTGGGAGCAGTTGAAGGATCAAATCAAAGAGATGCTGGATTCTTTGTTTGAGGGGAGACTGGACCTTTGGAGACATAACTATGGGGTGATTACTTCAATTCCAAAGATAAAAGAAGCAAATAACATCAAAGCTTTCAGACCTATTTGCTTGCTCAATGTCTGCTTTAAGCTGCTAACAAAGGTTCTGACGTTGAGATTAACTCATGTTGCTAATAAGGTGATTGGGGAAAGTCAGACAGCCTTTTTGCCAGGGAGATTCATTTTAGATGGTGTGGTCATTCTTCATGAAGTGCTTCATGAGCTTAAGAATTCAGGTCAATCTAGTATTGTTCTGAAGCTTGACTTCAAAAAAGCTTATGACAAGGTTCAATGGGACTTTCTATTTGATGTCTTGCAAAGAAAAGGTTTTTGTGAGAAATGGATTGGGTGGATAAAGGCAGCAACAACAA